TAGACGTAAAGTTATTTAAAAGAAGAATTTTGTGCATATTCAGTTAACTTATACTAGTAAATAGAGTATTCGTAAAAGTCTATATTTTATCAGTAAAATCAGGTTGAAAGAGACAACCTCGCTGGTCCTCTGTCTACTCCGTTTACTCGGACCTTTATTGTACGAATGTTTGTGATATTTTCAAAAATGTGCCATCTGTTTATTGATTATACGCACTGCTAAGATTATACGTACTATTATTAACTGGTGGTGAGTCAGAGTATTAGTAGGATCTGTTCATTAGATAAGAAACAGGCGAAAATAAATATGAAGTGGCACTATAGTGGCTGAATTACAAAGTGTTGAGATGAAGAAAATATAGACTGGAGTAGTATGAGTGCTGAGAACAATACAAACCACACTTATTTCATTTCTAAAGATATATACACTATGTTATACTCTTGATTATTTGGTTCACGTTAAACTACAAAGTCTACAACAAACAGTAATCTCATTACTAAAGTGTCTATTGCACTCTCAGGAACTTATCTTTAACTGAAAGTCTAGTACAAGAAAAAAGGGGAAGTTTGTTTGTTTGTTATGAATTTCACGCAAAGCTACACGTGGGCTATCTGTGCTAGCCATCCCTAATTTAGCAGTGTAAGACCAGAGGGAAGGCAGCTAGTCATCACCACCCGCCACCAACTTTTGGGCTGCTCTTTTACCAACGAATAGTGGGATTGACTGTCAAATTATAATGCCCCCACGGCTGAAAGGGCGAGCATGTTTGGTGTGACGGGAATTCGAACCCGCGACCCGCAGATAACTTATAATGCTCTAAAATGATCCATCTAAAACAAAAGTCCCGTTATGTCATTACATTCGTTCTAACAAAATGTAGGAACTGGCAGGATATCACTCCTACATTCTCACCCCCCACGCATAAAAAACTACCCCCTAAGGTCATAACATTCGTTCTGACGTTCACGTGAGGTTGATTACCTGGACGAGAACTTTCTGTGATTACTGGTTTGTTCTAGACCACGCAAGGCTTTTTCAAACCTTCCTTTTTAGGTTTTACGATATGATTTGTTTGTTACAGATTTCGCGCAAAGCTACACGAGGGCTATCTGCGCTAGCCGTCCATAATTTAGCAGTGTATGACTAGAGGGAAGGCAGCTAGTCATCACCACCTACCGCCAAGTCTTTTACCAACGAATAGTGGGATTGACCGTCAAATTATAATGCCCCCACAGCTGAAAGGGCGAGCATGTTTGGTGTAACGGGAATTCGAACCCGCGACCCGCAGATTGCGAGTCGAGCGCCCTAACCACCTGGCCATGGCGGGCCCGTTTTTTATTAATAACTCATTTGATTGCAATTCTAAGAATGGAATATATCTTTTAAAAATGTGTAAACGGTGGTGAATTATATATTGGCGAAACAGATAATTTAAGATTAAGGATAAATTTACATAAATTCCATGTTAGATGTCCCGAAAAAAGCCAACCACTATATGCCAGTGAACATTTTAATGAATGTATCTAAAAGAACCGTATTTTCATGTTTTCCTTTTTTTTGGGAACGTAATGTAAAACATAAAAGATGATTTTTCGAAACATATTTTCCAATTTTTTTGGCGCCACTTTAAATAGATAGTAGTAAGAAGGCAGAAGTAATTGGTTGTGTAAAGTCAGTAGGAATTGTGAAACCTTGAAAACAATTACTAAGACTTACAGAAAAGTAAAAGTATGAAATTATAGGACAAATATACTGCATTTCTATAACGATAATGATAAGAAAAAGAAATATAATGAGAATGAGATTTTAATTGAAAAAGTATATTGACTAATTATATTTATTTTTGAATATTTGTAATGTACTTAATTTAAAACTACTTCCTGAAGAATGACCTTTGAAGTCACGAAACCGGGTGAAGAAATTAATAAAAGAAAAGGAAAAAAAAGTAGTGATATTCCAGTGTTTTCTTATTCGTATCCACAGGTGAATCTTATTGATGTTTTGGTTATATATATATATATAAAGTAAACAAGACAAAACGCGAAGTACCGCATTGATTACCTTCATAAATATTGTGATATCCTAAATGTTTATCAAAATAAAGTTATACTTCATTGACACCCATAAAGATTTAAGGACGTTGCCATCTACCTTTGTAGATAATAATAATAAGAATGCATGGAATTTTTGTCAATGAGCCCACGTGCTGTGTATGAGGAACTGCCACAACCATCAGACAGTAAAGACAAGGGTGAGTTCGCAGCAGGAACTCATTTCACGACGGATACTTTTGACCTTTTCTCACTAGGAGCGCTAGTGTAGTGCTCAGTGTGCGAAAGATGAGGATCACTGCTGTGTATAGCAACTGCCACCTAGCGTGGCCTGATACTGCCCCCTACTAGAAGGAACCACGTGAGGACCTTATGGGGTCTATAGTTGTCATCCGCTAGTATTTTTCTTGTTTTCCTGCCTTGTAGTTTACGACTTTCAATATGAAGAATAGGTTAAGGAAGAGGGCAAATAAAACATATCTACATATTAAATAGTACGTATGACATAGTTGCATGGGCCTAAAACCAGCCTTAATAAATTTAAACATGGTCTATTTTGTCACGATTCTAAACCCAAGCTCCACAAGAAACTTTCATGACAGCATTTGGCAGTTGCACATAAAAGATAATTTTATTTATTACTTTTTCAGAAGTGTACCCATACACACAGCTAAAGATGGATATTTGAAATTAATGTTTTCGGCACTTCCAGAAATAAAACACACAAACGAACAATAAACGGATTCTGCGTATTATAAGTCTCTTGGCAAAACTCAAGATTTCTATCAGATTCCGTCCTTATTAACCTGTGGCAGTGGCTCTCGAAGTGTGGTTGCGAGGATCCTCCAGGTGGTCTGCAATACAAGTCATTGAGGCACAATCCTACGGCCGAGGCCATACGAGAGAACAGAATAGGTGGGGTAGGACAGATAGGTGGTCCGCAGACGGAAAAAATTGAGAAACACTGACCCATGGAAGCGCGGATTTGAATTGTGCCCATTCTCAGTTTTAGTTGCTTTTTTAAACACCATAGTTTTACTGATGTAACAACATTTACATACGTTATAGAATGACGAGTCATATTATCAACACGTTTCGTGAGAGAATTAGCAACTGCAATAAAATCAAAATAAGAACGTACTTTAAGTATAGCTTTTCAAAGCAAACCATTAAATAGATTTATAAATAAAAGTTACAAATAAAATTATATATGAATATAAATAAGCCCGCCATGGCCAGGTGGTTAGGTCGCGGGTTCGAATCCCTGTCACACCAAACATACTCGCCCTTTCAGCCGTGGGGGTGTTATAATGTGACGGTCAATTTTACTATTCGTAGATAAAAGAGTATCCCAAGAATTGGCGGTGGGTGGTGATGACTAGCTGCCTTCTCTCTAGTCTTACACTGCTAAATTAGGGACAGCTAGCGCAGATAGCCCACGTGTAGCTTTACGCGATATTCGTAACAAACAATAAATATAAATTAAATATGTTATAATTTGAAACATATAAATGAATATGTTATAAATGAAAGTGGCATTAAACAGAAAACAACGACTAAATTTATTGTTAAACGTGACACAGTATTTATCGTTCTTTGGTTTAAATGTAAACGCACACTTGTTATTTCTTGTTAAACGTGACACTATCGTTTTTTGGTTTAAATGTAAACGCACACTTGTTATTTCTTGTTAAACGTGACACAATCGTTTTTTGGTTTATATGTAGACGTACACTTTTGTTATTTCTTGTTAAACGTGACACAATCGTTTTTTGGTTTATATGTAGACGCACACTTTTTTTATTTCTTGTTAAACGTGACACTATCGTTTTTTGGTTTAAATGTAGACGCACACTTTTGTTATTTATTGTTAAACGTGACACTGTATTTATCGTCTTTTGGTTTATATGTAGACGCACACTTTTGTTATTTACTGTTCATTTTACAAAACATTAAAGCAAAGTTGCTTGAGTAAATCCAATGGTTTGCTTTTTTATGTAGAAGTTTAAGTTCAAGCAAGTTTGATAAAAATTAATGTTAAAACAGTAAAGACAGAAATATACTTAAAAATATTTGTAAAGTTTATTTTTGCCAGTGTGATACAGTATTTCTTTAGAAGAAATACATACTCACGACTTGTAAAAGATTGATTTTGAAGAGCTGTCACAAAGAAGTATTATTTGATTTGTCCATCCTCTTGCACAAGATCTGACCATTATCGAGTGGTGTTGATTACAAGGGTTTAAGAAACGTTTGATTTATGAATACATCTCAATGTGGAGAGGTCTAAGTCCACCACCGCTTCGCATCACTTAACATAGATTATTTCGTGATTGAAAATAATCCTCAACTATTCTACCATTGTCCTTCATGTCGTAATTTTCAAGAGGGTCTCGTGTATACACATACTTTTGTTTTTCCCTCCCTGCTCCTCCCCTTTTTTACCAAAACTTCTTGAAATACCTACAGATTTTTTTTAAATCTGTAAGTAAAATTAAATATATTATATATTGATGAACTTATAAAACAGTAAAAAACTACAAAAGCCATACTTTAATTGTCACATTGGTAACGTGTTCTGATTTTTAACTTGTTAATCTAAGTATTCTTTTGGCCTTAGGATTCATCCATTGTTCAGTACATTGTATTAATTAGCTATTTTTTCCCATTAATTGCAAAAAAACAAACAAACCAGGTAGCAAGTGACTGAAAGGTTATTTAGAGACGTTACCTTATTGGGGGCGTGGGGTAGGGGGTAAAACATTAAACAGCGTGTTTGTCTGTATTATGTTCACAAAGCCAGTAGATGAGGTAACGAAATTTGATACTTGAATTTTTTTTCGCCATAAATCGATGGTATATATATTTTCTGGGTCAATCAAACAACTAGAACTTTCTTTGTTTTAAAATATTTTATTAAACATATTTTGTATATAAATCTAGACCATTACATTTTTGGAGAAGTAGTTTTATTTTCCGAACTCTGAAACTTAACAGTTACTATCGATTCAGTGAATACTTTGTAGAATGTTAAAGTTTACATTAAGCAGAACACGTATTATCAGTCAACACGTATGATAGCTTCTTTATTAAACACAAAAAAAATCCAAGCAAATAATAGGAAAAATCACATTAATATAAATGGCTATAGTCTAAGACGTGCGGATTCTGCTTACAATCCGGTTGCTAAGGGTATATGATTATTGGTAGGTGGTGCTTGTAACGCATGCATAGTATCACATTAATATAAATGGCTATAGTCTAAGACGTGCGGATTCTGCTTACAATCCGGTTGCTAAGGGTATATGATTATTGGTAGGTGGTGCTTGTAACGCATGCATAGTACAGATATTTCTTTCATTATAGATCATTTGTTCGGGCTGGAGGCAGTGTTAGTAAAACTTTACGAAACGTGTAACCTTATTTACATTTGGTTGATAGAGATCAGGTTGGACAAGCACTGCTTTTGTCCTCCCAGTTGTTAGACGCCCTTAGGAAGAAACATTAAATATCGCTAACTCAGTTTCAATTGCGTAATTGCTGAGATTCTTTCCTAGAAGTATCTAAGTAATTAATTGATTTGCTTAAACATTTAACTTGATCCTGCACTTGAAACCCACCCAGTCACATTTTCAGATTTTGTTTTGTTATCCCTTGACAGGTTTTCCGTATTACAGGATTCCGCATCTTCTTCTTCAGAACTGCTCTCAGAGTCGACCATCGTTTTTGACACTACTTCTTTCTCTGGCCGCTCCATGGATTTGGCGCTACTAGTGCCATTAATGCCTCCGTTTTGGTTTAATCTAGCAAGTTCTTCCCGACCTTCTTTAGAATGTCTCCATTTCATTCGCCGATTTTGGAACCAAACCTTGACCTGTATGATATAATTAAGTTATAACTAAACCATTGTGTATGAACATCTACATTATTCAATGATGAAATGGAAGCACGAGTTTAATGAATAAGAACAAAGGATTTTCTTTGACCACAAATACAATTTTAGAAGGAGGAGAATTTTTATTAGCAGAAACACAAGTGAAAAGGATTTCAATACACTAACTTGTAACAAATCAACAACAACAAAAAAACACATTCATTGATTTACTGTAGTTTAGAGCTTCTACATGTATTCATCTTTAGTTTTGATGATTATATCAGATGGGGGGTAATTTAGAAATACTTTTATTATGAACCAAGTATAGACATGGTTTTGCTCAAACATGACCTACCAGCGCCCTAACTTTTTAATAAAAGGGAACTTAAAGCCACGATAATTATGTGTGGACTCTTAACTTAGCCAACATTTCGCAAAGAAAACACAAAGTAACTACATTGCATAATAAACAAAAAATATTTTATATTGGTTCAATTTTGATAAAAAAAGAAGTAAGAATGATTTTCAGATTATATTGATATGTAATGTTAATGTTTTTACAAAATGGTATTACGTGCACAGAAATTCATTTACTTCGTTTAATTTCAAGATCAGATATGTTTTATCATATACAGTTGAAACTTTCCTTTAAATAAATCTTAGTAGTAGCTTTATTTAAATAATTTAAGTGTTCTTAGAATGTAAGAGACAACCCTGATAGAACAGATTCATTGTAAACTTAAATGTTTAAAATCGCCGCTGAACACAAATGCGATTCCAGCATTAGTGTCTAAAACGTTGACAGTCACACCATGGTGCACTTAAATGCGCGAAAGCTTTCGAAACGTGCGTTCCTCACGTGAGCTCGTGACTCGTACGAAAGGAGGGGCAAGTTGAGGTTAAGTATTTGCTCGCTACGTGTATCGAGAAAGCTTTGCGAGTACCATCGATGTTGAAAATGCTAACAAATGGACCAAACTTATCACTCTTCATCACACGCAGGACTTTGTATCTACTGTAGCGTGAAAGTGGTGACACTATCTTCGTTTCATCATCGTCAGCAGAAACCCGCAATGCATATCCCGATGGGAGCTCGGAACGGGGGGTTGTTCCGCGTCCGTCATGCCATTGCTAATTCAGTCGGTCTGTTTTTTGAACCTTAACCTTAAGTTGATCAATTTTCAATGATCAGGGCTTTGGGGTGGTCTATTTGATAGCTTTAGTTTGTTTGTTTTTCAAGTTTCAAGTTAAAATTTCTAAATACAAATTTATTTGAAGTTGCGAATTATTTTGCAGAATGCATATTATATCAAAGTCCCCCTAAGTGAGGCTGATAACATGACAATGTTTTATGCGCCTACTGATTGAGCAGATAACAGAAGAGAAAAAAAAAAGGTTCAAAGGGCTAGGAAGAGTGTAAAAATAAACTCAATAAATTAAGAAAACAAAAATAAACAATTTAACTAAGAAAATAGGCCCGGCATGGCCAGGTGGTTAAGACGCCCGACTTGCAATCTGCGGGTCGCGGGTTCGCATCCCCCTCCCACCAAACATGCTCGCCCTTTCAGCCGTGGGGGCGTTATAATGTGACGGTCAATCCCACTATTCGTTAGTAAAAGAGTAGCCCAAGAGTTGGCGGTGGGTGGTGATGACTAGCTGCCTTCCCTCTAGTCTTACACTGCTAAATTAGGGACGGCTAGCGCAGATAGCCCTCGTGTAGCTTTGCGCGAAATTAAAAAAAAACAAACAAAAAAACTAAGAAAATCAACTAAGTTTCATCACGAATACTCTGCCTAAACAATCTATCAAAGAAAATCATCTGGGTTTTGAAGCGCTAGCACGCAGTCTTACCAGTTACGGCAAGTTTGACTGAATCTAGACTTTACCGGTGCATCTTTAGCACTGAGAATGTATAGTTCAGGTTTGTTACTAAATCCTTTAACAAACAGGCAGAAATTATGTTATTCTAGTGCACAAAATTATCATAGTTATTTTCTTTGTGCTTAATAGGCATTCATCACCAAACGATATGAGTCTGTTTGTTGTTAAGCACACAGCTACACGATCTGGTATTTGTGCCATGCTCACCACAGGTATTGAAACCCGGTTTTTAACGAACGGTTTGATAGGTGGGATGATATCATAACGTTTGAAAAACGTATCATTGGCTCAAGGGTCCTCTGGTAGCGATAAGCTTCAAGTCTTATTACTCTAGAATTCAGGGCTTGATCCCCGAGGTGAACAGCTTTGCACTAAAACAAACATAAGCAAAGAGTTTAGAATAGTTCATTGTTGTTTGTAGAAAGCAAATGTCTTCCTGAAATTTATTGATGAAACTTTCTTTCATTCACTCACCTGAGCATCTGTTAGGCCTAATGTGGCGGCGAGCTGTCTTCGATCAGGCTTGGTGATGTATTTTTGAATGATGAAACGCTTTTCCAAACCTTTTCGTTGGAGATTTGAAAACACAGCTCTCGACCATGAGCGTTTTCTCTTTCCTGAGGATATTTGACTGTTTAAAACAGATGAGTGCGTGGATGAATCTATATGTGAGGTCAGCGCTCTGCCTTGAGAATACACTGTAACAAAAATTAATGTCAATAAAACGGTGACTTAAAATGAAAGATGCTTACATAATAATGATATATCAAATGATGGGTTACTGTATTAAAAATTTCAGGAATATATATAACACTATTTACTCAAAAATTAATCCACTCTTAGACAGTTTTCTCAGCATCCATTACGTGAGGAATTGAATTGAGCTGTTATAACTCTGCATTGTAATTATAAGGATCGGGCTTACAGCTAAATTTTATTATAAATGTCAGTTTCTGTTTTTGTTTTCCTGAAGAAAATGAATTGGGGAGTAGGAGAAGAATATTATACACAAATTATAAAACCTCGAATCAGAGCCATCCCTAGGCAAAATTGTGGCCTGTGCGAAATTTGTATTCGGCGCCCTTTCCCCTGTTAAACTGACAAGAACTGCTAATTGCAATGCCGATTGTGGTGTCCCTTAGGGTGGGCACATGTCGTCCACCTCAAGGGCCGATCTTGTCTCGAATGCATATACAATATAAATTTTTAAAATTATGAAGATTTTTATTAGTTATGAAAGTTGATTTTCAATGCAGAAAATCGAGAATATAGCTATGTTATGCCTGATATAAACTACGCCTTCAAAAGTATATGGTTATTAGCTCCATACAACAGGGGTAGTAAGTAAATAAACTTACTGGACTTAGCGTTGCAGAAATTTGGACTCTTACGTTTTTCTCTAGACGTTTAGCAACTGAAAATTCTCCTGCAACGTCTTCTGAGCTACCATCCTTTAATTTTAGTAACTTTAACCATTTGCACCACACACCCGTCAAATATAAGATTAAAACGAAACAGAGTTATTTCAACCTGAGGGAGTAGCGCGGATTTTGTATACTCCACTTTTGCCATCTTAATCAAATGAATGCCACGAAACCCTCAGTTTTGTCTCTGGGTCCAACACTGTTAATAGTAGTTTTTCACAGCGACAATATAGAAAATATAGTCAATGGCATTAGCGTGATGTCGGACGAAACAAAACTTCGGGAAGTGATTCTGAAACTGTAATTGCTATTGTTTGTGATATACGAAAGTGTTTCGGCGATGCAAGTGTGAAAGCAATTTTAGCCAAAGCAACAAAAGACTTTTTGGGGTTGTCGACTGTAATGCCAGAGACATGTTTGCACAGCCAAAAAGTCTAATAGAATTTCAAAGTATATGTGCGTTTCATTCTGTACAGCCCACTCACAATGTGCCCTTTCAAACCTGATAAGGTCTACAAGAAAGCAGACAGCACTAAGGAAAATTGGTTTTGCTACTCCGATGAGAAAAAAAGTTCTGTTCTGTAAGATATGGAATGAACGACTAGAAACACGTTTACGTTAGGATTCATGAACATGAGAAAACTCTTGTGACGCAGAGAGAGCTAGGATAAAAAGGCTTGATAATGATTGGTTGGAGACGGCTTTAATGGGTGATGAAGAAAAACTTTAATATAAGTTTAACATGTCGATTCAGTTCCGTTTCCGGATTTATAGGGAGAAAATTAAGACAGGAAGTAGCAAAACAATAACAGGAGATCATCAAACGCGTATTTGAAATTGTCAAAACCATCGCAAAGCAAAAAAATAAGTTATCGAGGAACAGGCTTAGATGAAGGAGCATGTACGTTAGATAATCCGAGTATCAGCCATGGAAATATTTAGCTACCCATACTACCAAAATTACAAAACTGCAAAAGACTACCTGGACATGACTTGGTAGTTAGCGCGTTCGACTCCCAATCTGCGGGTCACGGGTTCGAAGCCACGTCACCAAACATGCTCGCCCTTTCGTTGGGGCGTTATAATGTGACGAACAATCCAACTATTCGTTGGTAAAAAAAAGTATACCAAGAGTTGGCGGTGGGTGGTGTTCACTAGCTGCTTTCCCTCTAATCTATCACTGCTAGCGCAGATAACCCTCGAGTAGGTTTGCGCGAAATTCAAAACAAACCAAACCCAATATAAATTAAAGAAAAGCATCACAAATTTAAGAAATTTAAATTGACTGGTATAATGGGAGATTTAGAAGATCAAGAAACTTGGTCAAACAGGAAATTAGGACATAAAGTAATACAGAATATCAAACAAAGAGGGCATGGCTGTTTCAAATGGAAGAAAATCCTTGTTCACTTTTCTTTTCAAAACTTTCGTGAATTATATCTTCGAAGTCATAAAGGATCAATCTTCCAAGTCGAAATCTATTCTATGAAAATAGACTTCATGTAGGACTTTATAAAAATGGAGCAGTGTTGCAGTGTCCGGTTATTATAATCCAATATGTAAGCGATGGAGTAGTGCAGGAAATACTTCTGGCTTTTGGTGATTCAAAGCCAGGTAAAGTCAAACAGTTGTTTTACTTGTTGCAGTGACATTTGAGAATCACAATATTCATGTGAAAAACTATATATTAGCACTGACATTTGTAGCAAATAAGGGAATATACATCGAATTTACTACATGGCTTGAAACAGCCTCTCAAGGACATATTCACGATCATTTAAGTATGATGTTAAGGGACACGAGGTCCATTAATATAGAATCGGTCAATTTATTTGATAATCTAGATGGTTGGGCAAACTCGTTAGGAGAAATATACAATAATGCTAATCTGAATTTAATAACTGGGCTCTAAGTGAGCAACGAAACGGCTTGACAACGGTCGCAAGTAAGGACTATCAGATGACGCAAGTTCTTTGGTGTTAAACCTGGAGATATTTCAAGTCTTCTGTATGTTGACCTAATTGTGACGTTGCAATCTATTTCAAAATATCAACGAGTACATCTACCACGTTTTGCTGCACCTTATCTAGTTATGACTGTTTATCATAACTGCTCCTTTGTCTAAATAACTTCAAACTGCTGTTCTGGATTGTGTTGCTGCTTATAAAACGCTGAAGATGGTTAGGGCACAAATTAAATATTTGAGTCATGATTTTTGTTGAAACCTTGCCGAAGTTGTCAGTGACTTGTTTTGCAAGCCAAAAAGTTCGAGTCCGCCATATGAGGAAAATGCCTGAGAGATTGTTGCTGGGTTGCTAGCGAGGTCGAAGAAACGGCAGTTAACAGATACAGAGTTGAGATGTTCAGTTTGGTTATGGATACGACCCATGGAAATTTTATCAACCACTATTCAGAGCACGGATAATTATTTGCTGATATATCTCTACTAAATTCAAAAATATTTTCTTAAACCGCAAAGCTTGTGGATGCAGAAAACTCACCGCCAACCAATCTTCTCGCTAAACATGGTTCGCCAATTCTTAAAAGTTGAATCAGCCAAACAAGATTTTACTTAACTTTCAAAAGCAAATGGGAGATGTGGTTTTTTTCATGGTCAAAGTTCAGGAGAAATCTCACGGAACAACATAACTTGGTTTTAACTCCTGATGAATGTTTGTTTGTTTTTGAATTTCGCGCAAAGCTACACGAGGGCTATCTGCGCTAGCCGTTCCTAATTTAGCAGTGTAAGACTAGAGGGAGGGCAGCTAGTCATCACCACCCACCGCCAACTCTTGGGCTACTCTTTTACCAACGAATAGTGGGATTGACCGTCACTTTATAACGCCCCCACGGCTGAAAGGGCGAGCATGTTTGGTGTGAGACGGGGATTCGAACCCGCGACCCTCAGATTGCGAGTCGAGTGCCTTAACCACCTGGCCATGCCGGGCCTCCTGATGACTGTGAGGAAGAGAAGCCATTCCCGAAAACAAAAAACAAACAAGATAACGAAGTCATCTGCCACTCATGCAAGGATTGTGTTAGAGTCACAATAATCTGCATAAACAGCTTTGGATTTTGTGGCATAGAAGATAGTGCTCACTCTTTTGGGTAGATTATGAAACTTAAAAAAAACAAGCGTCAGAAGCTTACTAATGCGAGAAAACCTTGAAAATTTGACATGCTGGAAAATATTAAGTAAAAACAGAAGTATTGAACTTCGGAAAGTACTTTTACTTTGATTGACAATCGTAGCATGTTTGAATTCAGATAGCTCTGTTATTCCTTTCAAGTTTTGTTTGTATTTTTCTGTGTTTTCATTGTCCCCGGCATGTCTAAGAAGCTACACTGCTAGAAACCGGGTTTCGATACTCGTGGTGGTCAAAGCACAACTAGCCCATTGTTTAGCTTTGTGCTTAATTACAAACAAACAATTCTCGTTTTTGAGATTAATCAAATGGCAAACCTTTAAATTTCCTTGTGTATATGAACTTGCAGCATTAAATTACAACATTCATTTTGCTCCCAATGTCTCAGCGGTAAGTCTGGAGGCTCTCATCGCTAAAAACCAGGTTTCGATACTCGTGGTGAGAACAGCATAGACAGTCCAATTTCTTTCATCTCACACAAAGCGTAGTGCTTTGTATTGAGTTACATATCTGTGAAGGATTCTTAAACTCGGTATACTTTACTATCATCATTCACGTCCTGTAACGCCTCAATATTGAATGATGGGCTACTGGCGGTTAAGAATGAAATAGTATTCGGTTTTATTAAACGATAAAAAAAGTAGCTCACAAGCATTCTTCATGAAATGAGCTTTTAAGTTTCAGAGTGATAGTATTTCAACACCAAATCAACTGAAAGCCGAAATGTGTTTTATGTACCTTGGGCGTTTAAATTCACAAAGACCTCTGTTACATCACAAATACTTTGAAGACGTTTAGATGTTGTAGCTATGCGCCGATTCGATTTTTACACACACAAACAAGCACAAAGCCGCTCTAAACAATGGAACCAATAGTTATAACAGCTGCTTTTCTGTCTTTATATATATAACTTCTTTACTGTCGGTGGATATCTATCCATTTCGGCTAGCCGGCAGCGCGGACAGCTCAGACCACCCGTGCTCCACGCGCGCTGAGCTTAGTTACGGCTATAAACAAGATCATTTGGTCTCAGTGTAAACCAAGTCATACTATGATCGTACGGTCCTGAAAGAGTTCATTCATTAGTACCTTACCGACAAAGGGGTCGAAAAATGAGTACAAAATAAC